CGCTGTAGAGCAGCTCGCGTGATTGGCTGACCCTCTCGCACTGCCCCTCCATCAGCCGCGGCCCCCGCTGCGCGGCCCGGAGGTGCCTGCCGTCCTGCCACACGCCGCAGCGGCTGCCGGGCTTGCACAGGCCTCGCCTCGGCCTCCAGCGCATGTTGGTCCACAGCCGCGTCTGCTTCCTGTACGGAGTTCCGTACTTGCAGTATGTCACGTCCACCCAGGGCAGGCGCTCCATGAACGGCCGGGTCTTCAGCAGCCCCGGTGGCCGGGTTCTCTATGACCCACATCAAGGGGCCAAAGTGCGCGATGATCTCAAGGGCGCTGAGCACCAGCGCGTCGCCCTCCAGGAGCGTCGTCAGCGCGCGGCTGTATTCCGTGCACAAACCATGTCGAAGTGCCCCGGCGGAAACGTAGTGTAGTCCCAGCTCCGGATGTCGCACAGGATGGTGGGCTCAAATTTCGACACGATGTCCAGGGAGACGACCTCCCAGCCCGCCGCCTCGAAGGCCCTGCCCACCGACTTGGTGCCGCAGAAAAGCTCCAGGAGCCTCGGCATTTTTAAAGAGCAAGATCACCGCCACTGCGACGACCAAGAAGACTCGCGCGTTCATCGGACCGGACTTTTTTCCTTCGGATAAAAAAAGGAGCCGAACTTCGCAATGAAGCTTGCACTCGGGCTGGACGTTCAGACCAATGCCAAGGGGGGGAAATTCATGTCCATAGAGGACTCCCATCAGGGCGCGCTGGTGTGCAAGGTGGACGTGGAGGTGCTGTGGGAGCCCGGCAACTTCCAGGACGACGGGGCCAAGAGCGTGTGCTTTGCGAGCAACACCAACCTGGAGCTGTGGACGGAGGAGGTGGAGCAGGGCGTCATCGACAACATGATCATCTTCCAGAAGCCCTTTCCGGGGGCCGCGCGCACCGAGCTTGAGAGCCAGCTGCAGCGCGCCGTCAAGGTGAGCGCCAAGGGCAAGCACGTGAAGTGCAAGATGGACTTGGAGCGCTGCCTCTTCTGGGACTCCGCCGGCAACCGCGTGCCGCGCCCCGCGGAGTTCGCGCGCCGCAGGGGCCGCGCGCTTGTGGAGGCCCGGCACGTGTGGCTGATGGGCAGGCAGTGGGGCGTGCTCTTTGAGGCGCGCCACCTCATGCTGGAGCCCCTGGAGGCGCCGTGCTGCCCGTTCTAGGCCGCCTCCAGCAGCTCGGAGCTCGTGGCCCTTGAGGCGCCCACGTACAGGTGGCGCAGCGTGAGGTGGCAGGACTCCAGGTCCAGGCGGACGCGGTTGTGGAGGGTGAGGCCCCTGGCAGCTGGCGTAGGTCACTGCGTGGCTCGGCCGGGTGGCCCGCAGCAGCTCCTGGTTCTTCAGCCGCATGCCGTTGTCCAGCCTCACTCCGTCCGGCTCCACTTCCGCCACGGCCACAAAGACGCCTTGGGAATTTTTCCGCCGGCCCCAATGAGGCGCAGCCCCGGCCACACCCTCATGCTCTGCGGGCTGTTTTGGGTTGTTGCAGTTTGGCAAAATCCATGTGGTACCTGTGGTACCGTTTCGTGGCACCCCAAATCTATGTGGATGACGTGTGTCTCCAACTCTAGGAGCTTTGAGGCCTCCGGCGCCAGGGCCCGGTTCGCCGCTGCGTTCACGGCCATGCGCTTGCTGTGGCTGATGACCAGCGTGGTGTCCGGCCACCCGACCTTGGAGGGGTAGAGCTCCTTCAGCCTCGCCTTGGCCTACTCCAGCGTGGGGCACGCCTCCTCGCCGACCCGCAGCCACTTCACGAAGTCGAAGATGCCGGGGTCGGAGCGCATGTTCTCCGTGAGCTCGTGCCTGTGCCCGCCGGCCAGGTCGCGGATCAGCTGGCTGTGCTCCAACGGCGCGCTGATGGGCCGCCCGGCCCAGGAGTCCAGCACGGCCGGCAGCTGCCGGAAGTCTCCCAGCAGCAGGAATTTCACGTCGGCGTTCAGCCCCACGCAGGCCAGGTCCGCCCAGAGCGCCATGTCCAGCTGCGTGATCTCCTCCCCCACCAGCCAGTCCAGCTTTTGCGCGCTGCCGCCGCGCACGTACCTGCGCACCCAGTGGTCGGCCGTCTGCGCCCCCAGGCCCAGGTTCTGCGCGGAGCAGTGCGTCTTGGACACCAGGTGCGCCGCCTCGCCCTGCTCTCGCAGCCTTGCCGCAATGGTCCGGGCCAGGTGCGTCTTCCCGGTGCCGCCCGTGAGCAGCAGGGAGTTGCCCGCCAGGCAGTGGCCCACGGGGTCGTCCACCCCGTTCCACCTCCGCTGTTTGCCGCCTCCATGCGCGGCGCCCTGCTGCTGAGCAGCGGCTTCGTCTCTTCCACGCGGTAGACCGGCGTGCCGTCCGGGTGGCGCAGCTGCCTCCAGCGCCGCAGCCGCTCCACGAAGCGCTTCGGCAGCCGCTGCGTCAGCAGGCAGTCCGTCTTCACCTGCGCGAGGTGCCGTGGCGGCGCGTCCAGGATGCGCCGGGCCTTGGCCACCATGCAGTGCTCAAAGCCCAGGACCGCGTCATGGATGGGGCGGTAGGTACCGTTGCTCAGCAGCCTCTAGCGTAGACGAAGTCCCACACACCATGCCCCCCTCGTAGGCGAAGGCCTGAGAGAAGTCCGCGCCCGCGCCGTCCAGCTCGCTGCTGCTGCTGCGCACGCTGCACCACCTCCGTGCTGCGCGCCCACAGGCCTATCATCGCGTTCACGCTAGCTTGGCCATGTGCTCCTCGTTTTCGGGCCACGCGGCGTCCATGCGCTCCAGCGCGCGCCGCAGCGTCGCCGCGTCCACGTGG